GCTACAACAGTTGATAAGGCTTTCTAGCTTTTGAAATCGGCATTTGACATAATCCAGACAGATTTGTTCCACCTCAAACTTGTCCTAAATGCCGACAAAACCAAAGGGAAGCTTTTTTCAAATAAGAAGTTGGTCCCAGCAGTTCTTTCTCTGATTTCATTCTCAAATGGTGTCCCGATTGAGTTTGTTGATTCCTATAAATATCTGGGTATCTTGGTCGACTTCCATCTCTTTTAAGCTCCATGTGAAAAACCTAGTAAAGAAACTGCAAGTTAAACTGGGTTTCTTTTTCAGAAACAGATCCTGTCTAACTCTGAATGCTAGGAAACACCTTGTATCTGCGACCTTCCTTCTCTCCATTGATCACAGTGACATTATTTACATGAACGCTCCTACAAGCACCCTGCGGATGTTGCATGCTGTCTATCTTCTGTCTATCTGTCTATGTTCTAGAATTGCGCAGCTCAAGGTGGCTGCATGTTGGAGCAGCTCTATTAATTCCATTCTGAGAACTTGCTTTTGGAAACGTTAATTCCTCTTTTTTCTGGATGTAAATCAAATTTTTTGGATGATTTTTTCCTCTGGTATCGGATGCTGTGCAGCTGGAAGGATTTTGACTGAAACTTTTTTAGTTTTGGAAGTTGTTATGACCATGGCAACAAGGCAGTTTTCTATAACCAACTACAGCTGATTAACATCTTAAAGCTCAAATTATATCTCAACTACAGCCCCAAATCTCCAATGAGTTGAAAAGGAGGCTCTGTGGATGCATTCTCATCTACTTGCTGGCTGTGCTCGAGTGCCTGACCACTAAGATCCTGGAACGAGCAGGAAACACGGCTCATGACAGCGGAAGGACGGGATCGTCCCTCGGTACAAACAGTTGGCTGTCTGCAGCGACGAGGAGCTCGGCAGACTTCTGGGAGGAGTGGTCATCACTCTGGGAGGAGTTCTGCCTGGCTTTCGGGTGCTCCTACAGCCTGGGGGAACTGAGAAACCAGCTGAGTCTAGGTGGATGGATCAGACGGTATTTGCAGCCAGTTTCTTAGGATCCACTGTGAGATGGACCTTTACAAGAGATCCTTCCTGCCTACAGCCATCAGCATCTATAACATCTCTTAATGAAATGAGGATAACGAGTTACAACAAATAATTTCCCTTTGGGATTAATAAAATATTTTTGAATTGAATTGAACTGAATCATGGTGGGGCAGCACAGTGGCACAACTGGTAGATCTGCTGCCTCTCAGTGAGCAGGTCCTTAGTTCAAACCCCAGTCCAGGGGCCTTTCTGGGTGGAGTTTGCATGTTCTCTCCGTGCATGCGTGGGTTTTCTCCGGGTGCTCCGGTTTCCTCCCACAGACCAAAAACATGCATGTTAGGCTGATTGGTAACTCTAAATTGTCCCTAGGTGTGAGTGAGAGAATGAATGGTTGTTTGTCTCATTTGTCTCTATGTGGCCCTGTGATGGACTTGCGACCCATCTAGGGTGTACACCGCCCCTTGCACAGTGATTGCTGGACATCGGCACCAGCGACCCCCGTGACCCAAAATGGAATAAGTGGGTAAAGATAATGGATGGATGGATGAATCATGGTGCACTAAGATTCATAACTGGCTGTGATTATCGTACACACCACTGCACCCTGTATTCACTGGTTAACTGGACATTATTAACTTCACACAGACTCTCTCACTGGTACATTTTTCATCTTTAAATCACTTCTTGGTCTGCTGCCTTCATACATGTCCTCCTACATGTCTCTGCATGAGTGCAGTTACAGCGTGCACTCTAAGGACATTATTACCTGCAGTGTTCCCTCAGTACGGACTGAACCTACTTCGGTCCTGTTTCCTAGAATGTCTTACAAAAAGATTTGAAGCTCTCAACCTTGACCTATCTAAGTGGCTTTAAGAATCTGTTGGACTCCTGGCAGGGACCAATGCAGACATGTTCCTGTTTTTAGTTTTTTACATTTGCCTTAGAATCTAGTTGTTTTTTTGTTACTTTTCTTTTTTTGCCATCCTATTCGTTAAAAAAAATCACTCTATTGTTGTCGCTGTTGTCCATTGTTGTCATCATTCTTTGTTGAAATCAGGTCTCTCTTGTAAATGAGTCCTCAAGGCTCAATGGGATTTACCTGTCTAAATAAAGGTTGAATGAATGAAAAACCACTGTGTAGGAGGTAAACAGTCTCATCTAAGATGGATGAGATAAACAATCTTATCCGTGGTGGAGGATGCCAAGATGGCCGCGCTCAGAGCAGTTGCAGCTTCACAGGCTCCCGGTACCATCCCAGTTTTTAGAAGTTTTGATATTGACTCTGTGCCTTACTCCGCGCGATTTGTGCGTGTGAACTATAGCTGAACCGAACTGATGAGAATAGGAGCGGATTTGCCACAAAATATAGCAGAAATCAGCAACAAACTCAAAACTACGCTTGGCAGAATGCAGATCTTAAAGTCATCTACCTGGAAGCTGCAGCAGAGGCGTTCCAGCGGGCAGAAGAGGAAGCGCTGCTACCGGCTTAAGAGGAGAGGATGCCGGGCGGGGGTTATGGTGAGGCTACGAGCTAACGCTAAAGCCTGTAAACTCCCCATGCTGTCTCTCTTTCTGTCGAACGTCCGCTCGTTGGACAACAAGGTGGATTTACTTCGTCTGAGAGCGGACGCCTCAGAAGAGATGAAGAAGTGTGCGGTGCTTTGCCTCACGGAAACGTGGATTACAAGCGAAACGCTGGATTCAGTCTTCCAGCTGGATGACAGACTTTTTTTTGGTCAACAGTCTCATACATGGCAGATGAAGTAATTAGTCTAAACCATGGTGGAGGTGTTAAATTGTCATCTATGATGGAGGAGATAAACAGTCTCATCCATGGTAGAAGAAGTAAACTGTCACATCCTTGGTGGAGGAGGTAAACAGTCTCAACTATGGTGAAGGCGATAAACATTCTGAACTATGATGGAGGAGGTAATCATTCTCATCCATGGTGGACGAGATAAACACCCTCCACCATGGTGGAGGAGATAAACAGTCTCATCCATGTTAGAAGAGATCAACGGTGACATCCATGGTGGAGGAGGTAAACACTCTCATCTATCGTAGACGAGGTTAACAATCTCATACATTGTGGAGGAGGAAAACAGTCTCATCCATGATGGTTGAGGTAAACAGTCTCATCCATGGTAGAAGATGTAAACAGTCTCACCCATAGTGGAGGAAGTAAACAGTCTAATCCATGGTGCAGTAGGTAAACAGTCTCATCCATGGTGAAAGGGATAAACAATCTAATCCATGGTGGAGTAGGTAAACAGTCTCATCCATGGTGAAAGGGATAAACAGTCTCATTCATGATGGAAGAGGTAAACAGTCTCATCCATGTTGGAAGAGTTAAACAGTGTCAATAATATGGAGGAGGTAAACAGTTCCATCCATGGTGGAGGAGGTAAACAGTCTCATACATTGTGGAGGAGGTAAACAGTCTCATCTATGATAGAGGAGGTAAACAGTGTCAATAATGTGGAGGAGGTAAACAATCTTATCCATGGTGGAGGAGGTAAACAGTCTCATCCATGATGAAGGAGGTAAACAGTCTCATCCATGGTGGAGGAGTTGGAGGAGATAGTCTCATCTATGGTAGATGAGGTATACAATCTCATACATTTTGGAGGAGGAAAACAGTTTCATCCATGGTAGAAGATGTAAGCAGTCTCACCTATGGTGGAGAAGGTAAACATTCTGAACTATTATGGAGGAGGTAAACAGTCTCATCTATGATGGAAGAGATAAACAGTCTCAACCATGGTGGAGGAGGTCAATGGTCTAATCAATGGTGGAGGATGAGCAGTCAGAGACAACACACAGAGGCACTGCAGAGTTCAGATAAAAATCACTCGGTTCAAATAGTTCCCTCTGGAGAGATCCGTACACATTCGGGGGTTGCAGAGGACAATCAAGGGTGAATCCAAAGAGTCCTGAAATGATGACAGAATGCTTATTCAGCTGGGCCCCTCTGAAAGTCCATGGAAATTCCTCGGTAGGAGAGGAGGGAGGGGTAGAACCATCAAGTTTACAAAACTTCCAGGCGGATTGAGATAAGATGGCCTGTCAAGGCTAGTCAGGGAGCCGAATTCAGATAAACACAATTGTTTTGGGGATAAGCAGAACTTTAATGACATCTACCTTGAGTCTGTGTTGGTCTGCTTGGTTCCGAAATGTCCAAATTAAATGGCCACACCAATGGACCGTACCTGAGAATAATCTCCGAGATCTGATCCATTCTGTCAAAAGCATTTGAGTCTGGGTGCTCGAGGCATGAACCAAGCCATCATAAGGCAAGCAGCCTGATCGGGTCCAAATTTGCTGCCGACGACTTCCTTGATTGTAGATTAACCAGGAACCAGCCGAATCCAAAAAGCAGGAACCAGTTATCATAAATCCAATTATAAATGCGTCCTTAAAATCCATAAATGGCAGCAGAGATAGGCACGTCATCAAGTCTTCCAAGTCAATGAGATATCCAGCTGCGTGTGTGACAACAGGGCAAATTGGCTCGCCTAAAGCCTGTCTTCTCTTCAAAGAAATGTTATCAATTGTGTTGAGTGACCAAATGACCAAATCCAATTATGATTCAGAATATTTGTAGAAGAGAGGATCTACGCAGTTTCACAGACAGGACAGAGCAAAAGCACAGAGAGAGAGGAGAAGACGTCTGCCCATCCATAGTGGAAGGAACAGTTTCATCCATCATGGATACGAGTGGACTGTAATTTCAAGTATTTTCAAATTCGTACAAAAGGGAAAATACATTACAAAAAAGCCCAAACTGACTTGATTTCAATATAATTGTTGTCTCACTAGGTTGAAAAGCCAATAATCTTGTACAGAACAAAGTGTATGGAGACTAGAGGAAAAAACACATTTTTAAGGGTTTGCTGCAATTGGTTTTCAACATAACTGTTTTCTTGTTTCAGATGGAGAAACATTACATCAGCCAAAATATAGAAAATTATAAAGAAGTTGTAGTGACCAGTGTGAGGTAAACAACTTCCAAGTGTATTTTGTTTTATAACATGCACAGAAAATTTGTGTTATTTATTTTACATACATGTTATTGCATTGCAGTTATATAACCCTTATTGTATGTATTTTTATTTATTTATTTTAGCCGTGGAGAGCCTTTGGTAAGATTGTCAGAACACATTGCAGAGAAGTTTAAGTTTAATAATACTTTAATATCATGATCACAGAATACAAAATAACACTGGTTAGTAACAGTTTTATCTTTATTTCAGGTAAGACTTTCCGCTGAAGCCAGAACTGTCTACAGTACAAATAAATACAGGTAAATTAATAAATGACTACTTTTGGTCTATGGGAAGGCTGGGCTCAGTGGTTAGAGCTGCCATCATTCAGTTAGAGTCAAAGTTTAGATTCTACCAGTGTGCAGTCACATGTTGAAGTGTTCCTGTGCAGGACCCTGAACTAGAGTTGCGATTTCTGACCCAGGCCCGTGCACGACCAGAACCGAAATTTGGGCCAGGTCGAGCCAAAATTATGTGCTTGATGGGTGGGCCGGGTCAGCCTCTGCCTTTTTTTATTTTATTTTAACCAATGTGTTTTTTATTTTTTTCATTTTTTAACATAGAACAACATAAAACTTAAAACAAGAAAACAATCCCCTCCTACCCCCACCTCTTCCCTCCCACACCGGATTAATCAAACACACATATACAAATTAAATAGGGATTGACATACTTTGTACATTCTAATCCAGCATAAATGGCTGCAAGGTGTCCCAAAATCTTTTTACAGAACTTCTTAGCCTCTGAGCAGAAACATTATTCAACACCCCCCCCCCCCCCCCCCCCCCCCCCCTCACCCCCCCCACCCCCCGCCCCCCCCCCGCCCCCCCCCCCCGACCCCCATGGGGGAGCCCCCAGGTTGGGAATCACTGCCTTAGGGTGTAGTTTATATTTTCTTCAAATGGATCTGGTGCATCTCCTCTCTTACCCAATGTACATACACTGTGGTTGGGGTGGGGGTGGGGGTGGGGGGTGAGTTTTTTTCAGTTGCACAAAATTAGCCTCCTGGCGCCAAAAGAGAGCTGAAGGCAATCACATCCTTCTTGTATTTGCTGAAGGATGCATCCCCAGCCCAGGGACCACCCTGAACAGTGCAATGAGTGGCGATGGGTGTACAGTTTTGCCACATATTCCAGAGATAGTGTCATATATAGATTGCCAAAAAGTATGCAGTTTGGGACAGGTCCAGAATATATGCAGAAGTGTAGCTGGAGTTTGTTTGCAATGATTGCATGCTGGGTCCAGGTCGTCCTTGAGCCTGGACAGTTTGTCTTTGGACCAGTGCAACCTGTGCACTACCTTGAATTGAATTACAACATGTCTCAGGCAGGCCGAAGAGGAATGAATGTTCTTAATGATCATTTTCCAGATTGAGTCGGATATGGGTTCCTCCAAGTCCGCTTCCCATTTTAGTTTAAGGGAGACCAAGCTGGGCTCATGGTATGAACTGAGCAGTGTATATATTTTGCTAAGGGCCCCCTTGGTATCAGACCTGCATTCCAAAATCTTAGCCACAAAATGTTTAGATGGGTATAAAGGAAAACAGTCAGAGTTAGATCTCACAAAATGTCTCAGCAGTAAAAATCTAAAAAAAACGGTGACTTGTGAATATTAAACTTCTGTACCAGCTGTTCAAAAGAGGCAACTCAACCATCAATATAGAGATCAGACAGTGAATGCACCCCTCCCAAGACACGTGTCAAAAGCTGTATCAGCAATTGAGTTAGTAAACATATGATTATTTGACTTAAGTGCCAAAAACAGTAACTCTGTAGAGTTAAATGTCTTCTTGAACTGATACTAAATCTTAACCGCCCAGATCACAAATGGGTTAGAGATATAAGTTGATACTGATTGTTTAAAGGGCAGCCGAGAGCACAGTAACACATAGGGGGAACTGGATTAAATCTAGGCCTTTTCCACGGCCACCCAACTAGGAGAAGGGGTGTCTTTACCCAACCAAAATAGAAGAGCTCTGATATTAGCTGCCCAACAATAGTGCATGAAGTTAGGAAGTGACATGCTGCCAAGTCTGCGGGGCAGATACAAGACCCTCTTGGCAATCCGTAGATGCTTTTTGTTCCAAATAAATGCTGATATCTGGCTGTTCAGATTGGTAAAGAAGGATTTAGTGTGAAAGATTGGCAGATTCTGAAACAAATATAGAAATTTAGGTAGGATGTTCATTTTTACAGAGTTTATTCTACCCCCAAAGTGTGAGGTAGGGATTGCCATCTAACAATATACTGTTTTAGGTTTGCCATGAGAGGTAGATAATTGGTTTTATACAGGTTCTTATGATCTTGAGTTACCCAAAGCCCAAGGTATTTAACTTTTTCAAAACTAATTTTAAAGGGAATGGTGTGCAAGGTTTTTTTCTCTTTATTTCATAGGCATCAGTTTGCTCTTTTGAAGGTTAACCTTATAACCAGATAATTTTCCGAATTTTTGAAGCAAGTTAAGTAATTTAGGGACACTGGTAAGGGGGTCTGATATATATAAAAGCATGATGTCCGTATACAAAAAAAAAATGTGTTCTGTGCCTAGTCGATTAATGACCTTAATGATGGAATTTTGCCTTAAAGCAATAGCTAATGGTTCTATTGCCAATGAAAATAGATGTGGTGAGAGTGGGCACCCCGTTGCGTACTCCACTGCAATTTAAAAAAGCAAGATATGTTACAGCTGGTGTGGACTGCCGCAATTGGGGAGGTATATCAGCTTCACCCATGATATAAATTTGGGACCAAATTTAAATAACTTTAAAGTCTTGAAGAGGTAATCCCACTCCACCTGATTGAATACTTTTCTGCATCTAATGAAATAATGACTTCATCATAGGTGTGCTCAGTGGGGCTAGGAGAGTAAAGCACATCAAGCAGCTGCCTAACATTGATAAAAACCTAACGGTTTTTAACAAACTTGGTCTGATCAGGCGATATAATAGGGGGGACACCTGCTCCAGTTGTTTTGCCAGGATCTTTAGAAGAATTTTAACATCAGTATTTAAAAGTGAGATGGGTCTATGAGCCGCAATTTAGAAGGTCTTTGTCTTTCTTAGGTATCAGCAAGATTACAGCCTGGCGCATGGTCAGTGGCAATGTCTGTGCAGCAAGTGACTCCTCAAACACAGACCTTAATAAGGGTGAGAGTAAACTTGAAAAATTATTTTAAAAAACTCAAATGGGAAGTCATCTGGTCCAGGGGATTTCCCATTTTGTATATTGTTGATAGCAGAGTTAATCTCAGTCACAGAGAGCTCCCTCTCCAGGTCCTCAGTGAGAACATGATTCGATTCAGTTTATTTATATAGCGCCAAATCACAACAAAGTTGTCTCAGGGCACTTTACAAAAACATTCACATACATAAAAGCCAATTAGTAAAGTTCTCGATCTAAGGAAGCAGCAGACAAGTTGAATCTTGGCTTCGTCTCACATCCTGAGCAAGCACAGTGGCAACAGTGGAAAGGAAAAACTCCCTTTTAAAAGGAAGAAACCTCCAGTAGAACCAGGCTTAGGACAGGCAGCCATCTGCTTTGACCGGCTGGTTTGAGAGGCCAGAAAGGAGAGACAAATGAACACAGAATGGTAGGTCCAGATGTAGGTCCAGGTGTATATGAAAGACAAAAAAAACCACGTTAAAGATAAAGGAAGATGCACAGTGATTTTGAACCAGAGAGACTATCATGAGAAAGTTATGACACTCCTTAGTGACTTAACCACTTATGAACCTCTGAAAAGAGATCCAGGAAGTGGTTACAAGAAGAAGTTAATAGATTGCCTAAAAAAATTGGAGCAGGACAAGGCTATTGACCGTATTCTGTACCACAGACTGTACCCAGGGGAGGCCACACCTAGTCTGTATGGTTTACCTAAAATCCACAAACAAGGTGTGCCTTTAAGACCTTTTGTGAGCATGATTAACTCTGTCACTTACAATGTTTCCAAATATCTGGCGTCTGTACTCATCCCTTTAGTTGGCAGCTCAGAACACCACATACAGAACACCATGGACTTTGTGGATAAGGTGAGGGATGTCATCATGGAGACTGATGAAACAATGGTCTCTTTTGATGTCACATCACTCTTTACGTGCATTCCTGTTGATGATGCAGTAGAGGTGGTCAGTTTAAAATTAAAATCAGACACCACTCTGAGCAGCAGGACCACGCTTTCCACAGAACAACTGTGTCAACTCTTGAAACTGTGCCTGCAGTCAACTTACTTCACATATGGGGAGCAATATTATAGGCAGAAACATGGGTGTGCTATGGGGTCTCCAGTTTCTCCTATTGTTGCCAACCTGTACATGGAGGAGGTAGAAAAGAGAGCCTTGACGTCCTTTTCAGGGACACCACCAAGTCATTGGTTCAGGTATGTTGACGACACCTGTTAGCCTGTTAAAATTAAATCTCAGGAAGTCCAACATTTTACTGACCACATCAACTCTGTGGATAAATACATCAAGTTCACACGAGAAGATGTAAAAAATGGCAAGTTGGCTTTCTTGGACTATGAGGTCTCAGTCTCTGATAGAGGACATTTGCAAACCGAGGTGTACCGCAAACCCACCCACACAGACCAGTATTTGCAGTTTGACTCCCATCACCCTTTGGAGCACAAGTTAGGAGTCATCAGGACTCTGTATCACAGAGCAGACAGCATCCCCACTAACTCGGGAGCCAGGCAGAAGGAGAAATCCTACACAAAACAGGCTCTAGAGCAATGTGGATATCCTAACTGGGCCTTCCTGAAAGCAGAGAAGAAACCCAAACAGGACTCCAGTCAGCCATCATGTGAAAAGGAGGAACCCAGACCCAGACCAGTGGTCATTCCGTATGTTGAGGGAGTATCAGAGAAACTGAGACGTTTATTTTCTAAACATAACGTCCCAGTGGCTTTTAAACCCCAAAATACATTACGGCAAAGACTGGTTCATCCCAAAGATCCAGTCCCCCGGCACAAACAGAGTAATATTGTGTATGCTGTTCAGTGTCAGGAGGGCTGTGATCAGTCTTACATCGGGGAAACTAAACAGCCACTGACCAAAAGGATGGCCCAGCGCCAGAAGATCAACATCATCAGGCCAGGAGTCTGCGGTCTACACTCATCTCCAGGCCAGCGGTCACTCTTTCAAGGATGAAGATGTTCACATCCTGGACAGAGAGGAACGATGGTTTGAGAGAGGAGCAAAGGAGGCCATCTTTGTGAAAAGAAATCATCCATCATTAAACAGGGGTGGAGGCCTCCGGGTTCAAC